AAACACTTTCATAAAATTACTTTCTACCTGATTGTACTGTATATACAGTATGTAATGCATGGGAAATATACAGGCTTCCTCTGCAAAGAAACAAAATCCTTTAGAACTGAAAGATTATTAGGCAACATTGAACCACAAATCACAAGACTTACTGGGTTCTCACTTCCGCATAGAAACCAATCAGCTTCTAACCTCAGCTTGTTCAATTAAGCTCCAGAAATAAAACCTGACAACTGATTGGTTTCTATGCAGAAGTGAGCCTGATTTTGCACTCTCCAGCTTAATAAATAAACCCCTGCCTGTCTTCCAGTTTTTTTAACAGGTGTTCCCAATGCCAAGGTAGTTCAGTGTATACTTTTTTCAAAGGTGCTCAAATTTGGGGTAGTAGCACACTTAAAGCTGAAATAGCACACACAGTAATTAGCAATTTTATATCTGTTTGCCAAAATATCACATTTTGCCTTTCACACAGTTAGCTGTTCTGAATTTCAAGTGCTTAGCCCTTGGTTAGGTTGTACTATGCACTTCATTGACTTACTCTATGAAACAGTGGTATTATATGCAATATGCAAAAGTGGCATCTAGCAAGTTACCAGTATTAAAGTGTTACTAAACCCATGACTCTACATTCACTATATCTGGTCTCCCACAGTACACACAACATGGAAATGCAATTATATTTGCAAATATAAACGGCTAAATACCTTTTTTCATCAGCAGTATATAGCAGTCTTGTGACTTCTATCAGTGTCTGGCCAAGCACTGGTTAAAGCTGGTAGGAGGAGTTTTCATTCTGCTTTGACTGTCCTATGAGGCTGCATAACCTCTGACCCTCTGTCTAGACAGTGCTGATTGGCCCTGTGCTGATCACATGTACCCTCCCAAAGAAAAAAATACTCTCTAGCACTACACAACAAACTGCATGTGCAGATGGCTTAGGGACAGTAGGAGAAAAAGAGAAGCAGAGAAGTCAGGATCAAACAGCCTTTTTTACACAATGCTGAGGAATAATCCCTTAGGTTTCACAGTGAGTATAACAAGTATGTTTTACTGCATATACAGACTGATTTTACTGTTGTGGGTTTAGTGACACTTTAATTTTCACTTCAAATTTCTATTTAGTTTGAGTCATAGTCTTTTGACTAAAATGCCATTTTAGGTATAGTCATATTTTAGTTATCTGAATTGTTTTACTTTTAATCGTATTTTAGTCAACTAAAATCTCCAGTACATTTTAGTTGACTAAATTCTAATGGGTTTAGTTAACTGTAATGCATTATTTAAGCATTTCTCTAGAATTTCAAAACTCATTCTATATTGGAGGAGTAAAAATATAATAGCATGTTATTATTTAAATAAACCATAAAATCTTTTAATGTGCCACATCCAGATTTAGCATGTAGAACCAAAAAACCCTTCCAAAAATATTTTAGAGGGTATGAAGTGGACTTTATAGGCACCATATGAGACCACACATAAAGTGTAATAATAATGTATGTATTTTATTCAAACATTATAATAAAATTAGGCACATATCAGACATACAGTAGATGGGATTATCCATTAATTGAGAGATACGTTGGTTTATAAGGAATTAACAACTACATTATCTGGGCACAAAGCACCAACTTCTGGGGATGCTGATTATGCCAGCATTTGGGAGCATCCAGTTAGAACAAAAGTCATTCACCCAATTATGTGGGGAACTGGGAGTAGAAGGTATAAGGGTAATCATTATAAGTAATTTCCTCTCTCATAAATTGTCTCCAGGTGCACAGCATTCACAATATGAATGAAATACTTGGCTTTTCAAGAGTAATATATGCTGAAAAACCTTTGGTTTCATCATTTATATCTCTATAGTGTTGTTGTTGGGCCCCAGTATTGACATCTGCCTCCTCAGTGATTGGGAGTCTCCTGTGGTTTCCCTATGTTTGCGTGTAACATTTTATCTGGATCCATCGGCAATTCACCCAACCTATGTGAGTTTTGTAGTGACTTTTGAAATTATGTATCAAAAACATGACGTTATTTCAACAACAACCCAGTCTAGCTGCCCGTTAAGGGTTAACTTGTCTTGGTTGAAAATTCAAAGGACCCTCCAGTTAAGAAATGTAAATAATGGGTGAAGTGAGCTTTTTCCAAGACAATAGACTGTTTGACTGTCAACAGGTAGTTTAAGACCGGACAATTGTAAGGTTTTAAATTGGAGACTGTGAAAATAGCTAAAGTGTGGGATGTCAACAAATACTGTTTATATATTGGGGTTGAGTGGAAGACGTCTACAAAAGTTAAATAGACAGCCAAATAGGACTTCGACCTTCAAATATTAAGTCATAACACATGAACAATAATGAGACGGAAAATCAACTGGTTGAAAGTTTGCCCAGAACCTTGCAGAGGGTGATGAACCAACAAACCTCTCGAACTATCACAATATACTATTATCCACTAAGGTTGAAAGTATAAATGGCTGTTTACTCTGACTCCAACACAATAGCCAGGTAAACAGAGGGTCTTTCCTACCCATGGGAATGTTTGGTTCTAAAACAAAAAGGTTAAATTCAGGACATATAAGGCTAAGATTGGATATATCTACCCACAGAGATATTACCAAAAAGCATGGTATCAATGGATGTTATAAAGAATATGTTTCACACACCACAAAATATTCAGCAGAATGGGGATTGTATATCACTAAATTGAGTATTGAGATGAGAAAAAGTAAGATATATTGTGAATTAGCAGCAGTTGTATGTCTTACCAGGAAACAAATGCTTTCACACAATTTTTGTATCTCAGGAAGATGAATAACTGAATATACATATATCTTCCATAGTTCTTATCTAGGACATTATAGGTATAATCAAATAGATATATCTGGATGAGACGTATATTTAATACCTAAAATCACCCTGAGTTCCACCCTGAGGTGTGAGTCATCATCAATACTCAAATTGTTCTATGGTACATGACTGCCATCTGGCGGACAGGTGAGAAATAGCTTATGTACATACATTTCTCAACCAGCCAATCAAAAAAGCCTGGTAGGAAGGTATCTTAGAACAATAGTTTAGATGGTATAAAAAACCCATACACCTCATTTAAAGAAGAAAACCTCATTGAAAAAGGAAAACTGACTGAAGAACCTGACTGAAAACGGACTGAAGATATCTGAAGAAGCTGAAATCCATCTCTGCTGTCTATCAACTCTTCCATCCTTTCAAACTTCTAAAACTTTACTAAATTTCTAAATCTCTGTACTTCTAACTTCCTACATTCTCCTACACTATTGAACTATATCTCACTTCCCCCTGTGGTCATCATTCTGAAGGCGTTCCATTGCCAGCTGGATCCACTGGGGGAGGGTGTCATATTCCTAGATCTGGGTGTGGTGAGACTGTCCATTTAATTTTGTATTGTATATTTTCTCTGTGTGTAGAGTAACAAAAATTACCTTAGAGTGAGAACAGCTGTATTGGGTGTTTTATATATATAGAGAGATCCCGTATTACTGTTAGATATTGTTGGTGTCATATTACAAATTTTTCATATTTCATAAATTATTAAATATTAGTAATTAGAGTATAATTATTCAGAAAATATCTTCTTCCAATCCTATGGCCACGTTTTGTGTGAGAAAATAACCTCTGAGATACTCTAAATTATTAGTTATTACTAAATTTAATTTTTAATAATCATCATCATCATCTAGAAAATTGTTATATTGATTTCATTATTTAGAAACATTATATTATGTATGATATTGGTAGGGTATATCTTTGATTTTGTGTACCAGTATTCATTCATCACCAGTCTTTTGCGTTTTGTGTTAATATATATATATAATTTTTGTACATAAATAAATTTTTATATTTATCTATTATAAGGCAAATTTTGTGTGTATGGTACGAAATCATACTGGCTAAAAGAATTCAAGGTCTAATAATAAGTGGTGATCAAATTATCAAGGTGTCCAAATTATTGGTTTACTAAATATTTGCCGTATTTTGACGGCTGGAGGAACTGTAATATTTCATCTAAGGGAAAAGGGACACCACCCTTTACACGTAGAATAAATCCTTACATAAACCACCACAGTTTTCTTCATTGTTTTTTATTACATGTGGAAATATAATTTATTGATCAAAAATTTATGTATATTATGTTTTCTACAGTACTAATTCTCTGTCTTCTCAAATGTACAGTCCTGAAGAAGCTAAATGCAAAACATGTTCACCATTGAAGATTAAAATATGAGCATGTTAAAGATTTGGAAGGCTTTGTTTTAGGGTAAGTCTTTCATAATATGCTATTATGCAGAGCACACTAGCACATTACGCTCTTAACGTGCAGCTAAAAAGTTTTTTTTTTTTTCAAACTTCACTACCCATTTAACACACTTTTTTTAAATGGTTTCGCTTGAGGTGATTGTAGCCGTATTAGTGCATTTGCGACAGAAACAATTGAGTAACATCCGTGATACTTTTTTTTATTTGCACTAACAAACAATTTTAAGGACAATCTTTCAGGGTATGTCCCTTCTTCAAGGTCCAAGCAGTACTATTACAATGTTTTAGCAGAATGTTAGAAGAGATGTGGGAGATGATGAAAAAAAAAGCAGAAAGAAACATCAGCCCAGGCCAGTTTTTCAGCTTTCAGCTCTGTCGCACTTTAAAATAACAATTGCACGGTCATGAAACACTGTACCCATATGACATTTTTTTACATTTTTTTGAGACAGATAGAGCCTTCTTTTGGTGGTATTTAATCACCTCTGGGTTTTTTATTTTTTGCTAAACAAACCAAAAACCACAGAAAATTTTGAAAAAAAAGTTTTTTCTTAGTTTTTGTTATAAAATTTTGTAAATAAGTGATTTTTCTCCTTCACTGATGTGCGCTAATGAGGCTGCAGTGATGGGCACTGATAGGCTGTACTGATGGGCACTGATAGGTGATACTGATGGGCAGCACTGATGAGGAGGCACTAGTAGGTGGCACTGATGGGCATTGACAGGCATCACTGATGGACACTGAAAGGCAGTGATAGGTGGCACTAACTGCCACTGATAGGCGTCACTGACTGGCATTGATAGGTGGCACTGACTGGCACTGATAGGCGGCACTGGTGCGCACTGATATGTGGCACTGACTGGCACTGATAGGCGGCACTGACTGGCACTGATAGGTGGCACTATTTGGCAACACTGATAGGTGGCACTGACTGACATTGATAGGTGGCAACTGAAATGCAGCTCAGATGGGCACTGATATGTGGCATTGATGTGCACTGGTAGGCAATAATATGTGGCATTGATGTGGCACTGATGGGTACTGGCAGGTGGCATTGTCGAGCACTGACAGCTGGCATTGATGGAAACTGACAGGTGGCACTGCTGGGGGCTACACTGATCATCAGGGCACACTGATCATCATTGCCCTGATGATCAGTGTACATGTCCCCTCCGAGGAATGCTGATTACCTGCTCTCCTCTCCTCATGAGCTGTCAGCGTGACATCTCGTGAGGAGAGAAATGCTGATAACAAGCATTTCCCTATTTACATGCGATCAGCTGTGATTGGACACAGCTGATTACATGACCGAACCGACATCTTTGGCTCTTTCCGTTGATCGGTGATCCGCTGTGTCCGAGGGACACAGCGCACCACTGATTGCTGTGCTGTGTGCTCCCGGAGCCGTGCATGCGCGGTTAGAGTGGGAGGATGTCATATGACATCCTTCCAGAATGAGAGAACCGCCTTGTGCCCGTCATTACTTTATATGGCAGGCGGGAGGCGGTTAATGTATGCTCTCTTGGCCAGGTCATAGATGATGCGATTTTCATTCTTGCAACCATATATTTCAGGAAAGAAAATTGTTTGATTCCCCTATCAACACAGTCAGTGTTGATGGGGGAATCCCTCCTGCAGAGCTATTGTGTTTTCCCAGCGAGAATACGCAGGGATCTGTCCTTGCTGGGAGAACACAGTGATTATTGCTAACAGCTATAGCCGCTGGCAATAGTCACATAAAAATTCTGAGAGGCTGGTTGTACCCAAGTTGTACCACAATTAAATTGGGTACAATCAACTGCCCATAGGTGGTTTGAATCCTGGGCAGTCTCTGCTGAACTGGCAGATATTCAAAACATCTATGGCCAGCTTTATTCATAAACACATTATGCTTTTAAAGCATTTGATTTACTAAAACTGGAGAGTGCAAAATCTGGTGAAGCTGTCTATGGTAACCAATCCGGTTCTAACTTCAGCTTTTTCAATTAAGCTTTGGCAAAAAAAATCAAAGAACTGGAAGCTGGTTTTTTTATGCAGAGCTGCACCAGATTTTGGACTGGATTTTTTAGTAAATCAATCCCATAATGCTCTGGGAAACCTGTGTAAACCCATGTGAACCCTGTATTAAACATTTCTATGCAAAAACACTTTCTATATAAATAGCAAACCAAGACACATATTAAACAACAGTACAAAAATCAATACACGTTTTAAAATACATTTCTGATCTTAATAGAGGCAACATGATTCTGACCTTACTTTTGTGCATAAGCATTTAAAACTCTAAGATTTCCTCACACTGCAGTAGCTTTTGCAGTCAGTTCTAGCAGAACAGTCCAGATACAAAATACAAAATAATGTTAAGTAGTTGTATCAGAGAATTCATTAGCCAGCTGGTGTGGAGAAATGTGCTTATGCATACTTCTGGAAAAACAGCGGTTGTGCACATTTATCATGGCATGTGCATATAGACGTGCATGTACAGCCAGAATTGACATTGTGCCAGGCGGCTTCTTTAACACAGTGTCAGTACTGACTGGTCTTCAGCTGTATCCTGTGCCCTGATTGTGTCCTGTATATGATTCCTGATGCTGACCTGGATGGCCCCCGACCTGATCTTGAATTCTGATTGTACCAGCTCCAACCCAAGGTTTTGTCATCAACATCTACTATCACTTGTGTTCCTCCAGCCCCTTGTCACACTTCCAGTGGTGCTTGGGTTGAAGATAAAAAACTGGTCAACTTTCAGTCTCCTATCAAATATGTGACAAGTTGTCACAATTTAGTTAAAAAATTGTTTTTGTGATGGGTATTAATTAGTAAACTACAATTTTTTTTTATTTATATCTATCTACACACACACACAAAGCTGATTTACTAAAGGAGTTGAGAATGTTCACACAATTGTGTGAATATTCACTTAAATTATTCAGTTATATGCAGATATAATAAGTAAACAGGGATTTGCTTTTCAAGTGATTAGATAATTGAAGGAATATTAACCAAATGTATTATGTGAACATTCTCAACTCCCTTGGTGAATTAGCTTCATAGTGCATGCTGTCTACTATATATAGACACAGATACAATCTTTGTTCTACAAATGAGTATAATACATTACAAAGTACTATGGGCTAGCTAGAGAGGCATTACCCTTTGCCTGATTAATCAAGCAAAGTACTCCAGAGATGGAGATAAGGGCTCAGCTGCTGACCTTTGATAAAAACTTGAAATCTGCTTATCAGTTAAATCACTGTTGAGTCTACTTTTTCTGCACAGGAGGAGTGTATCTGAAACAGCTGAAAAATGTTTATTAATATGTTTATGCTGGCATGTATAATTTCTTGGATAATGGGAAATGGTCACTTTAACTGACATACCATAGAAGCAACTTGACATACAGGCACATAGACAGCATGACATTCTTGTTCAACTCAACCACAGTCTCTTACCCCTTAAATTTACAATACTTCCTTCAACTTCAATACCCCTAAAATCCTATCTAAGTTGCATCTTTCTTAAATTGGTATTTTCATGGGGCTTGGAACACCCATGTGGCAGTGCCTGGGTCTGGTGAATGAGTGCGGAGGCACAGTGGATGGCAGGGAGGTAATGCCTTATTCCTGAACATGCAAGGTTTTTGATAAGGTTGAAACAGTGATTAAGAAAATAACATAAAATACAATCACCTGATGGATTCTGTACAACCCATATGCAGAATTTCATCCTAATGATCTGTAACTCATTTTCATTTTTTGAACGATTACAAGGAATGTGGTGTCAAATGTCACCTAGTTGGTGCATACCAGGGGTGGACTGACAACTCATGGGGCCCCCAGGCAATAGGGGATCATGGGGCCCCTGTGTCTTTGCCCAAACTCAAAAAAGCCTATGAAAAAGGTACCAGGGGCATCTCATGGGCCCCCTACTGACCCCGGGCCCTCGGGTAGTGCCGAGTTTCCAAACGGTCAGTCCGCCCCTGGTGTATACAAAATGTGAACACAAACTGATATACACAGTATACAAAATAGATAATGTTTAGACAGCTAACCCACTTAATTGGTATTTAATAAAGATGTAACACTTCTGAGCAAAAGATCACAATTATATCTTAATAAAATGTGTTGCTTTATTCATCTAAGCACTTCAGAAGATTGCTTTAATTTTTGATCTAAGCTTCAAGTACCAAACAGAGCAGGCATCTGGAAGAAAAATCATTTTAATAGCACACCATTAATAAAATAAACAGCAAGCTATAAAAGTAATATTTGTGGTTAAAACTACTTGATATTTATACTCTTATCTAAAAAACTGTTAAGAGCTATAAAAGACAAACAGAGTTTATGTATGGCTTAGGTAAGATAAGACTTAATTACCATTCAGATTAGTTGTGTGCTCTGGCCCATGAATATGTTTTGCAATGAAAACATTGGCAGCAAACAAGATGGAAGTCACTATGTCATGTTCACAAAGGAATTATTTCAGCATTAGCCTGTAGCTCAGTTTAACTCTTTTGTATTTATACATTACAATCTGGAATGATAACAGTACCTCATACTTACATGTTTTTTTAAATTTGTGTTTAGCCATTTGAGTCTTAATTCAATTTACATTCTAGAATGTGTATTTTTTTACCCGCTAATAATTTGTAGTTTTGTGTAAAACAAATCTTACAATTTAAAGTATGTGAACCCTCACCTTTATAACAACTCATTCAGTTTAAAATAGAAAACCCTTTGTGTATATGTATAAAATAAAATTCTAAATACCATTTTTCCCCTTTTTATAAGTGATCACACCCTCTGTTCTCAGCTGCATAAGGATCTTGGAAGGCTGGGGGTTGAGAGAAGCAGCAGCTCTCTGATCATCCTAATCAATGGGGGGGGGGAAGGGTAGGGGTGGCTGGTGTCAGGCACAGGTCTGATCATTGGAGGAGAGCAGGTTGAGTTCTAAGGGTTCATGTACACTGCAGCTGATAAACTCACGTTCAGGAGTTTTTCTGCATTTTTTTTAGCAGCCCTGAACGCTCCCAAATATTTTCCTATGTGTCCATGTGTGAGATGGGGAAACAGCTTTCATTGTTTGAACACTGATTGAAGTAAATTAAAAAAGTTCTCTGACTGACATTCTGCAGTTTAGCCACAAGATGTCACTGTTTTTGCTAACACAGCCTCAGACTGCATAGAGATTTCTATATTCATGAAGAGGTGGGGTTTTACACTTGGAGAGTGAACAGGAAAAAGAGAGGAGAGCAGCCATGCTTGAGAGAGAGAAGGGGGGCTGTGTGATCTGAGAATCCGATGCCATCCAGATGTGAGGACAGCCCTCCATGATCAGAAATTCAGTTGAGTGAAGCTGATGGTGTTCAAGACGCTAACCCTGTTCAAAGAAAGGAAGATTGCTTCCAGGAAGCTGATGGGAAGTTGAGGAGCTTAGCAATCTATATACTGTGATATTACATGCTTAGTGGAGAGACAGTTGTTCTGTTCAGAGTCACCAGCGGATGCAAAGCAAACCCGGGTCGGTAAGATCGTGCACTCACCTCATTTCAGTGTTGGCACCTATAGGACTGAGACAGGCTTATAGTTAGTTAGGGTCTCTGTTTGTGTCAGGCCACAAGTGTTGTTACTGATCATTGGAAGGACTCCACAACTTAAAGTGACATTTCACATTGGAGAGCTGATAAAATCCTACAAACTCAAGCCAGACTGGCGTTTTGCTCAGAAGGAATACTCAGGCACGTGCTACAGGACCAGTAATGGGAGGGGGAATACTGTAGATTTGTGTAAGATTGTAAGCTGTTGTGCTGCACCGCTGCTAGCCCATACCATACACCCATACACTGATTCTTGTTCTTTTAGGGTAATAACAGGTAAGGTGTGACAGCTTAGTTGTGCCCGCCAGTAGGTAAATTACTACACTTTCTTCCTTCATCCATCAGAAGGTGCCGTGCTGTGCAGCACAAGGGTCTCAGCCTTTGGGCTGAGTGTATGTAAATTTATTGTATATTCCAGCATTTGTGGTTTTATTTGCCACATCTAAATACAATTCTGTTGTGACAAAAGCTGGTGTTGGGGTTGCTTTCCTCGTTCGTGACTTCACTGTATCCTGGGGAGCCCACCCCGGTACACG